TTGTTGGCGGCGTACCACTCCATGGCCTTTTTACCGTAATGGCAAGATGCCAAATCCGGCCAAAACAGTACGGAACAACCGTGTTTCTTCAGGAAAGGCAGCAGACGTTTATTCAAACACTCTTTCACGTAAATTTCTTGGTTGACAGTCCCGGAAGCTATGAAAATGCTGCTTTTCAAGCCACAGGTACAGATGGCTTGCCAAACCAGATATTTCTTTGCGAACTTTGACAGTTTCATGTGCTTGAAAACATCTGCTACCTTTCCCCTTCCTTTTGCCGTATAAAACTCCTGTCCCGGAAGCTGCTTGTAGTCGGCTTTGACGTAGGTTTCGTCGTCCATTACCACGCAGTCAAACTTCGTCAGCATCGTCGTGTACAGCCTCCGGGATCGCGCTTTGGCCGTCGTATTTTGTTTATCAGCGCGATTTGGAGTCACTACCTTCTTGTAAGTCGATAGTCCGGCTCGTTTTTTGGCTCGATGCATGGTTGTAGACGATACACCCAGCTTATTTGTGGCATCTCGGAGAGAGAGGTTAGGGTTTCGCTTGAAACTACCGGCAACACTCTTTGTCGTCTCAGCGGCTTCCGGTTTTCGATTTCCCCCCGATCCAGACTTCCTGGCTGTCGACAAACGTTCCCCAAACACTTTAATTACATTTGTAACGGTTGATTTGGCAACTTTTAGCGATTTTGCCAACTTTGCGTGCGAGTAGCTCGGATTTTCGCGATGCGCGAGCAAAATTTTGATACGCTGCTCTTCTTGCTTGGACGGCATTTTGACAACTGAAGAGTGAATTCCAAAATCAAAATAGGAGCAACATTCTACACACACACACACCTTCAAAATGAGGGGTGTTCAGGTTTTTTAAATGCAAAATTGAAAGAAATACGTCAAGTTGATATTGACCAAATTTTGACCGTATCACCCTTTAGAAGCAGAGTATAATAGTTTGCAGTTGGGATTCCATACAGGGCAGCCGTATTCTAATATCCGACCGGACGAGGGAGCAGTAAAGCGACTTCAAACAGTAGATGTCCGTGAAACTTTTAGCTATCCTGAAAATGAAGCCGAGCGCTCTGGATGCCTTGTCGATCACGTACGAGATATGCTGGCTGTATGTGAGTTGACAATCTAAGATGACTCCCAGATCCTTAATGTGATTCACACGATGTACGTCAACGCCTTCTAGGATATAACTGAATGTAATTCGATGTTTCTTCCGTGAGAACGTGATTTCTGAACATTTCGTTGGATTTACAACCATGCGGTTCAGTTGGCACCAATTAGCAAAAGCGTTGAGTTGGAGTTGGAGAAGGTGGCAGTCAGCGATGGCTCAGATTCGGGGATAGATTTTCATGTCGTCTGCAAACGACAGTTGATAGGATGCAAATCTTGTTTGCAATTCCAACAACCTTGGTGGAATCCGCAATTGTGTAATCTGCGTAACCGTCTGCGTAAAGCTCGAAAACGTTACTTTCGTTCCCGGACCGCAGCAAACAAGTATACGGTGCAGCTAGTTGAAGCAGAGTATAATAGTTTTCAGGAAACTCGCTTTCGTGAGTACGTCGACAACCTCCAGAGGGGTTTCAAGGAAAATTCATCGTCGTTCTGGTCTTCTATCAACTCTCGGAAAAGATCAGCTGGTATTCCCGTGGACGTCACCTACGGTAGTAGAAGCTCCACCACCGACACCACTTCGGCTGACCTTTTCGCTGACTTTTTCCGAAGTGTTTTCGAACCCGATCAAACTCCTTCACCGCAGCAATACTTTGATCAGCTACCAAGTTACGACATTGCAGCAGCTCATCTTCATTCAAGACGCTATTCTCAAAGCCCTTTGCTCAGTCGATCCATCGAAAGGTCCAGGCCCGGACCGTATTCCACCGTCTTTCGTCAAGAACTGTGCAGCATCGTTGGCCACTCCCGTTATGTCTATTTTCAATCGATCGCTTAAGGATGGCGTTTTCCGGATGCCTGGAAGCTCGCCTCAATTACACCAATCTTCAAGTCCGGTAACATGCACAAAGTGGAAAATTACCGACCTATCTCGATCCTCGAAAGTCTTCTGCATGAGAAGTTGTATCCAGCTGTTCAACCCATAATCTCAGAGTTTCAGCATGGATTCATGAAAAAGCGCTCGACAGTCTCTAACTTGATGACTCACACGAACACTCTTATAGTTAGCATCGAGAAGCGTCAGCAAGTGGACTCCGTTTACATCGACTTCTCTAAGGCTTTTGTTGGTTGAAATCATACTTATCATCCAGGAAGGTACGTGATTCCAGATCCGAGGTATTCCATATACCATCGGGGGTTCCACAAGGGTGTCACCTAGGACCTTTCATTTTCGTTCTGTTTTTTAACGACGTGTGTGATATGCTAAGTTCCTGTAAGTTGCTATATGCGGATGATCTTAAGCTGTACCGTGTGATCGAATCGATCGTGGATTGTTGCGCACTACAAGCTGATATAGAGCGATTGTCATCCTGGTGTCAGATGCCAATGCTGCCAAATGCAAAGTGATTACCCTTACCCGCTCTCACTCTCCGATAATTTTTGATTACTCTATGAATCAATCGCCGATGGAAAGGGTTAATGCCATTAAGGATCTTGGGCTCATCTTGGACAGCAAACTTCGGTTTAACGAGCACATATCCATGACAGTTCCAAAGGCCAACTCCATGCTAGGATTCTTGCGCCGCAGTACTGCACAATTCGACGACGTGTACGCCCTGAAAGCGCTGTACTGCTCTATGGTCCGCAGTGTTCTTGAATATGGAGTACAAATTTGGGCTCCACATCATGCTGTTCATGGACTGCGCATCGAGAGAATCCAGAAACAGTTTATAAAGTTTGCATTACGACGTCTGCCATGGACAAATCCAGATAGCTTACCTCCGTACGAGCATAGATGGACTGCTGCTTATTGGACTGCAAACGAGTCTTTCTCCAGAGGATGTTCATATTTGACATGATTAGTAATCATATTGACTGCAGTTGTTTGCTCGGGAACATCAATTTCCACACTCCAGCTCACCGTCTCCGCAACTATTACTTTCCCGGACATCGTACTGCACGGTTATAACAATCCTCTCGATAGATGTTGCAGACTGTTTAATGATGTGTGTGATGTTTTTGATTTTAATATAAGTAGACCAATTTTTAAAAATAGTAAGTCACTTTAAACAGTCTGTATGGCTAAAATGTCAAAGATGGTGGTTAAATAAATAAATAAATAAACCATCGTAGGAGACTGCCGTTTGGCGATCGCTATAGGATGGTTCAACTTGTCGAAGGCGGCTGAAAGGTCAGTGTAGATGACATCAGTTTGCATATGGTCTGTCATACTCTCCATAATGTACGAGGTGAGACACATAAGATTGGAAGTAGTCGACCGCCCTGCCATGAAACCATGCTGGTCTTCGCTCAAGTGCTGCTTGAAGTGAGAGACTAATGGTTCCATAAAGATCAACTCGAACAGTTTAGATATGGCACACAAGGATGTGATGCCGCGATAGTTGTCGATGATTCTTTTGCATCCCTTCTTATGCACTGAAAACTTATCAGCCCCACTGGAGAGGGACATTTCGAACAGAAGGCAGAGAGGAGCCACCAGACTATCGATGTGTTGCTTGAGAAATACGGAAGGAACTCCGTCAGGTCCAGGCTTAAATGAAGACTTCAGTTACGAAGCCGCCCTAGTTATTATAGCGAGGTCGATGTTGATAGCTGCCAAAGATTGACCAGACATTGGAACATTACTGGCTGCTAGAGAAACGTGCTCGACAGGTAGTTTCTCATCGGAGAATACACTCGCAAACTTGGTTGAGAACTGACGGCAAATGAGCTGTGAGGGGATGAAGCTTCTTCGCCGTTCAGTACCATAGTCGATGGAAGGCCAGACTCCTTTCGTTGTTGTGGAATGACCTCAGGAATTTGATTGCCTTCAAGTGCAATAACTAAAGGAGGATGGTGTGGAACAGTCTTTATCAACGGAGGAACAGCCATAGACTAATGTTGCATTCATAATATTTAGCTGAATACGGGCTTGGCGTAAATGGTCATGCTGAAAAACTTAGCTCAAATCTCACTCCGGACAAGTCAATGTTTATTGATTATATTCACGAGTGAATCATGTAACTTTATCGTTAAAAGTGGACTGGACGAAAGCTACGTATGTTTTCACGTAACTCTGACGTGAAATATTTTTTGAGTGTACTGTTTCTGAAACCCCTACCCTATAAGTTTACATTGACTCTACGTTTTCTACCGAGCTACTTTTTAAACACTCTCGAGGATTTCTACATAGCTGAAAATCAAAACGTAGCCAAGCAAAATAAAATACACTCCAGACTTGCTTTAACGTGTGGTTTTACATAATCTTATATCAATTGTTCCTTTATGTAATCCGCCTACAGTACTAGGTTGATAAAAAATTAAGAGATTTGACGCTTTTTTTTTATGCTTCTCCAGGACAAAAGCGACAGCAGTCTTTCAGAACGCCCTGGAAGAAACAAAAGAAACCGCGCGATATCGACCTTCCTCAATACCTCCTACACACACACACACTCACATACAAAGTATAAAAAGAAAAGATGCGTTGAAGTGGAGAACCAAAAAAAAAGCGCTACAACTCAGCTGATAAAGCCCCCTACCCACACCGACTGAATCAACTTTTGCTATCGATAGACGGCACCGGTTAATCATCATTTTCGACTGAAAATCGAAGTCCTATCACTTTTTAATGTGGTCTGGTTCGCGCGCGCGATTTGTGGCGATCGATTACATTTGCGTAATTTGATAAATCCCCGGAGTAACGTTAATTCCGTGCTTCGTGTCGTCCCTCGGTGACGGTGAAGCTTGCACGTGCTCATATATAACTACAGTCAGTCGCACGGCAATGATTGATGATGGTGGACGGACCTGTCGTGGTTTCTTCCGCTCACCAGGGATGCTGAGATAAAAGTTTCTAATGCAATGCTCTTCCAAACTTTCCAGGTCCATTTTGCACAGCTGTTTCGTCCTATATGCGATTGACGAACCCGACGGAGCATGTCATCCTGTTCAAAATCAAAACGACCGCGCCTAAAAAGTACTGCGTGCGTCCCAACTGTGGCGTACTAGAGCCAAAGAGCACCATCGAAATTGCTAGTAAGTGCCGAGCTACGCATTCCCTCGATGGATCCTATGTAACCTCTATTTCCCTTCTCCTAATTTCTTTCAGTTATCCTTCAACCGTTCATCTTCGATGCGGCCGAAAAGAACAAACACAAGTTTATGGTACAGTCGATGATCATGCCGGAAGGGGACGTCAGCGTCGATCAGCTGTGGAAGGATGTTGGCCCGGACGATCTGATGGACTCGAAGCTGCGGTGCGTGTTCGAGCTGCCGGCCGACACCAATCAGACGTCTTCGGGAGCGATTACAGCCACCAGCACCACTACCAGCCAGTCGGCTAACGGTACGCGTGTGCTTTTGATTCCCCCGCGATGATCAAGCCATTCAATACGATTGTTTGCTTTTCGTACATTTGCAGCTACACCGAACAAGAACGAGTCGGGAGTATCGACGGTGGAGTCACAACACGGTAGCAGTGCCAGCAACGAAGACGACAAGGACATGGCGCTAATGCAGGAGGTGAAGAAGCTGCGGGAATCCGAGTGCTCACTGCGCCACGAGAATCTGCTGCTGAAGGTAGGTGCAAATAGGGGAATGCAAATTTGCTACAGGTCACGACGAATTGAAATTTATTGACTCGAACAATCGGGGTGGTAACTCTACCAGGAAACCGTGGGAAACGAACAGTGGGGTAGATTATATTCTTTTTTTTTCATCTAGTTCAAAGGCTCAATCGCATTAGCTTTGATTCTATGTCTAGTAGGAGTTGCACTGAATACTCGCGACTTACCCGTGGTTAGGGAGTACCTTGTCGAAGGATAGGATCAGAGAAGGAGCTTGTGGGGTGGGGTTTCGTTGTCTCATCCAGAGCGTAAAATTATTGACTGCTTAGGCTGAGTGTTAAAGCACTGCTCGATTCAATTGATTGCTCTATCCAGACCGTATGTACCAAACGGAGCAGCTAGGTGCGGTGCCATGCCAAATATTCACACCGAAATCCAGCAGTGGCAAACAGCAACAATTGCAGCTTGGGAGAACCAAAATGACGGAGGTTAGAAGGAAGATCGATGAACTCTATGTGTTCGTGGAGGATAAGGAGGTCAAGCTACTAGCGACGGTCATCAAATCCGGCATAGCTGTGGCAGATCGAGAACTGCAAGAATGGAAAAGAAGAGCCGAAGCGGCCGAAAAGGCTCTGCATGAGGCCAAGGAGAATGTAATGCTGGCTGAAGCGCAGGAGAGGCCGAAGGGACGGACGAATCCACGTCCGGAGAAAAGAGATAGGGAAACGCCAGAAGACGAAGAGGACCCCAAAAACGCAAGGACGACGAATACGGGGACAAGGAGCAAGATGATGGAGAAGACAGTAGTGTTGTCAGCATTCGGTCTGGGCCACATATCCAGGCCTGCTGGGGTGAGAGGTAATCACGCTTACCACTACACTACCGGCACCGTTGGTGTACATCTTTCTTTTTTTTTGAGAAGAAGGTGGATATGTGGCCCAGACCCAATGCTGACAACACTGCTACTAACGAGCAACGACTTCACTCTACCTTGCACACTTATCCTTGAGGCGTTACGAGCGCACTATACAGTCGTGCAGCATCAAGCTCAAGCATTGCCGCTTTCGTGTGCTAGCTGTGATAGAGGTAAGAGCTATATTGATATCACTACGTGCGCTGGGTGATTCGTGATATTCAGACTCCAAAGTGCACAACAGTGATTGGCGTAAAGTCGAAAACGAAAAGGAGAAGAGAAAAAAAACAGACGGAAGATGAACACAGGAAGAAGAAGGAAAAGAAGAATGGAGTGGAAGAGAAGAAGAAGGAAGTCAAAAAGAAGAAAATCCCAAGGCGTTCTGGTTATCGAGGCGAAAGACAAAACGACATACGCAGCACTCCTCTGGAAAGTGAGAGAGGATCCGGAGTTGAAGCAACAAGGCGAGAACGTGGTGGAAACCAGGCGCACCCGGAAAGGCGAGATGCTCTTCGAGCTGAAGAAGGACCCGTCGGTGAGGAGTTCAGCCTTCAAGGAACTCGTCGAAAAATCTCTTGGCGAAGACGCAAACGTAAGAGCCTTACCGCAGGAGTCAGTGGTCGAGAGCAAGGATCTGGATGAGATCACAACGGAAGACGAGGTATGATGTGCGCTGAAGGAGCAATGCAATCTGGGAGATGTGCCCATGACAATCCGGATAAGGAAGGCGTACGGTGGTACACAAACGGCTGCGATACGACAAGCGACGGACGCAGCTAACAAGTTGCTGAAGACAGGACGAGTCAAGGTTGGGTGGTCAGTATGCCCCCTGAAAGCTATCCCTCGGATTACCAAGCAAATGCAGAGATGCTTTAAGTCCATGAACTTTGGTCACCAGACGAGCAACTGCAAAGGCCCTGATCAATCGGAGCTGTGCAGGAAATGCGGAGAGAAGGGGCACGTTGCTAAAGACTGTATGAAGTAACCGAGGTGCATGCTCTGCAGAAAGGAGGACGGAAACGACCATATGACGGGAAGTTTCAGGTGCCCAGCTTACAAAAAGGCGATAGCGGACCAATAGTAATGGAGATAACCCAAATAAATTTCAATCATTGTGACACAGCCCAGCAAGTGTTGTGGCAGTCGACAACGGAAACAAAGTGCGACGTTGCAATGATTGCGGAACCGTATCGAGTCCCTCCCGATAACGATAACTGGGTGGCCGATACAGCAGGGATAACGGCAATACAAGTTATGGGCAGGTATCCCATACAAGAAGTGGTGACGAGGTCTTACGAAGGTTTTGTGATCGCCATAATTAATGGAACTTTCGTATGTAGTTGCTACGCACCCCCGAGATGGACAATGGAGCAGTTTCACCAGATGTTAGATGAACTCACCGGTGAGCTCATCGGACGGAGACCAATCGTCATTGGAGGAGATTTCAATGCTTGGGCAGTGGACTGGGGCAGCAGATGTACCAACGCAAGAGGGTATAGTCTGCTGGAAGCTCTGGCAAAGTTGGACGTCAGTCTGGCCAACGAAGGAACCATCAGCACCTTCAGCAAAGATGGTAGGGAATCCATTATCAACGTCACTTTCTGCAGTCCGTCGTTAGTGGCAAGTATGAACTGGAGAGTGTGTGAGTAATATACTCATACCGTGCGGGACCGAAATCCGTACACCTAAGCACTAGAGAATCATTAACGGTCAATACTAAATAATGCTATCACATTATGCTCTTTATCACATCTTTTCCCCATACATTTATCTTTATTTTACCATTATTTGCAAACACCAGGTGTTAAAATTACCTTCAATTATAAGAAAAAAGTATTTAAATTACACATCTCTTGAATCAAAATCCGTACAGCGTTCTACGATTGAATCAAAATCCGTACAATTTTGAATCGAAATCCGTACACTGTGTTGAGGATGAATCAAAATCCGTACAGTCATGAATCAAAATCCGTACATGCATGTAAATCGATCTAAATCAATGAAGAAAAAACATGTTGCTGTCTTGAATAAAGTATTTATTTAGAAGTTGCTTGCCTAGGAGTCCAAAACAAATATACTCGTTTAAATACACTAGTTTACAGCATATTTGAACGTTGTACGCTGATGGTCATTTCCCATGTAAAATCGTGCGCTGAATCCAAAAATGTAGTGCAAAAAAATCTCAGTAGGATAGTTTTTGAGATATAGCTAAAAAATGAAACATCACTTTAAAAAAAAAACGTGTTTACTAAAACCACAAATACCTCCGGCTGTAATGAAGTAATATTAATTATTTTAACGCCGAATCATACGTGATAATTTTTTTTTTCGTGAGTGTAATGGTAGAACCACAATAAACATTTTTATTTACATTGCTTAAAAAATTAGCAGAAATTCAATTTTTCTAAGGATAACTTAAAAAAAAACTATTCAATAATAACAATACCACTAATCTCACTGACAATTTATGTTCAATTGATCGAACGAAAAATTTCTTACCTCTAATTTAGCGTTAAAATAAATGATATTTATATTGTTGGATTCAGCGTACAATTTTACATAAGAATCATTCGTCAAAGGTTCAAGTTCATTTTTTTTACTTTTATTTTTTTAGCTTGTAATATCAGCGTTAGATTAATTGATGCTCCAATCAAATCAAAGGAAAGGTAACTGATTTCTTTTATTTAAGAAGGTGACTGCTCTGGATTTTATGCTAACTAATATCATGATTAAGGATTCATTTCCTCCAAATTTTATTCTATACCAGTGCTTTTGGTTAAATATTATTACTAGAGTTTACCTCCGATCACAACCTCGAGGTCTTTGAAATTTGACATGTGATAACGTGCAAGATGCGCCATACTTTGGAACTTGGGGGCACTCCAGCTAAACGCTACAAAACATTATTTACCGGGACTAAACTGGGCGGTTTAGCTTGGACAATGTTGTCGAATCAATAATAGCAAACTGAATAGAAGACTGCCGAAACATCTTTAATACACCGATAATGGAAACGCTTCACCAACCCACTGGCATCAAGCGATAGAATAAGCGGTTCCTAAGATGGTAGCCCTATAATGGCGGATAAGTGAAAAAAAAAATTACAACCATCTTAGAAACCAACAAAAATAAGACAATGAACTGACATCAAAGATTAATTTTTCGTTTTGTGCATGAAAAATAAAATAAACGTAAGTTAACGACTAAAACTTAATTTAATTTAAAACGTCAAGAGAGTAATAATTATAAAAATGCAGATCTTTCATTGCTTCTTTTCCACAGCTTTCTTCTGCTTCTTCTCCATTGTTGCCATTGCTTTTTCAAGTTATAATGCTTTCTTGCTTCCAGCTTTCTTTCTTCTTCTTCATCTTCTTCCTCCTCTTCCTCTCTCGTTCAACCTTTTTCTTTTGTCGTTCCTCAATCCTTTGTTTCTTTGCGTTCTCTTTATCAATTTTCTCCCGTTCACTTTCATGTATATTTCCGGCCATTCCTCGCTGGTGGCTACTGTTGGGAATGCTCTCTTGCCCATTTCTGTCTGCTCTCTGTAATTTGTATATGCGTGTTGGTGTAGAGGAGCTGCGCTGTTTTCCTTTTCGGCTGGTTCTTGACGCTCTTCATTAAAAGATATTAATAATATAACATTTACAATACGAATAAAATAAGAGAGTAGCGATTCAATACGGCATCTCTTATGGTGGTAAATGGAACGGCAAAATCCCTGGATGCTTCTCGGTAAGATTTCCCCGCACGCATCATTGCCACAGTCTTCTCCAAATCCTCCGGCGTGTATTTAGCTTCCATGATCTGCTGAAAAACATTGGATAAAGTGGAGTCGTCATTGGAAATGCACAAGTGTACGGATTTAGAATCAGCTGTTATATATGGATCGAAATCCGTACAGTACTAATTTTGATAAATAAATACCATATGAATGATCCATTGCTTAGAATTGAGATATAAAACGATAAACACTTACCTTTTCGATCGACCTTCAGGAAATTTCCTTGCAAAAATCACTATAATACGCTTAACAACTGGAAGTAAATCCGAGAGATTTTCTTAGAAAATCGTTAAGAACGCAACCGATTGATAGAAATGCCCGACACGTGATAAGGTTTTTATTTTTTTTATTTTAATTGCATGACATACTGCTTAATTGTTGACATAAACATCAAGCTAATGCATGAATGAACATGAATATGTATTCATGTATAATATTTACATTGTGATGATGCATATAAATAAACAAATTCAACAGGGTGTACGGATTTCGGTGCTGTACGGATTTCGGTCCCGCACGGTAGTGACCATCGGGCGATTAGGTACAGCTTGGCCAACCGATACCTACGGCAATGTGGAGAACGAAAGTAAGCAAGCGGAGCTGGAAGACGAAAGCATTCGACAAGGATTTCTTGGTAGACAGCAGCGTCCCAGACCAAAGCGCGGACGAGTTGACCGAATCGTTAGCGAGGGCATGCGACACAACCATTCCGAGGAAATCGTAGCCAAGGAACAGACGGCGTCCAACTTACTGGGGAACGAGGCACTTAGCACCCTTCGCGCTAGTTGTCTCCGAGCCAGAAGGCGCGTTCACAGAGCAAGAACTGATGCAGACAGAGCAGAGCGAAGGGTGGTGTTTCGAGCAGCCAGGGCCGCTCTAAAACGGGAGATAAAGCTGAGCAAGTCAAACTGATTCAAGGAGCTGTGCTGAGACGCTGATGCCAACCCCTGGGGTGACGCATACCGAGTCGCGATGGCGAAGATTAGAGGTCCAACAACGCCCGTTGAAATGTGCCCAGACAAGCCGAAAGTCATCGTGGAGGAACTCGTAGCAGTAGCGGAAGGGCTGAAGACGAAGAAAGCTCCCGGTCCGGATGGAATCCCCAACGTGGCGTTGAAGGAGGCGATCCAAGCGTTCCCGGACATGTTGAGGATAGTGCTGCAGAAGTGTCTGGATGAAGGTCACTTCCCGTACCGATTGAAGATACAGAAACTAGTGCTGCTGCCGAAGCTTGGAAAACCGCCGGGGGATCCAGCATCGTATAGGCCTATATGCTTGCTGGATACAGTCGGAAAGCTATTGGAGAAGATCATCCTCAACAGGCTAACGAAATGTACGGATTGTCGGTGAGGCAGTTCGGATTCCGGAAAGGGAGATCAACGGTGGATGCAATTCGGACAGTGGTCGAGAGTGCTGAGAAAGCGTCCAAACAGAAGCGGAAGGGAGATCGATATTGCGCCGTGATAACGATCGACGTGAAGAATGCATTCAACAGCGCCAGCTGGGAGGCCATCGCCGAAGCACTGCATGGAATGAGGGTTCCTGATTACCTGTGTAGCATTATAAGGAGTTACTTCCAGAACCGGGTTCGAGTCTACGAGACGGACATGGGAGAGAAATCAATCCGGTTCACGGCGGGTGTGCCACAAGGCTCCATCCTTGGCCCAACGCTCTGGAACGTAATGTACAACGGCGTGCTAACGCTGAAGTTGCCCAAAGGAGTCGAGATCGTAGGATTTGCGGACGACGTCGTCTTGGCGGTAGTAGGCGAGACGTTGGAAGAGGTAGAAATGCTGGCAACCAAGGCAATCGACACGGTTTACAACTGGATGCAAGATAGCCCACCACAAAACGGAAGTGCTATTGGTCAGTAACTGTAACGCTGTTCAGCGGGCAGAAATTACCGTCGGAGAGAACGTCATAGCATCAAAGCGCGTGCTGAAGTTTCTTGGAGTGATACTCGATGACCGGCTAAACTTCAATAGCCACGTCGACTACGCATGTGAGAAGGCGGCGAAGGCCATCATTGCGATAGCTAGAATCATGCCGAACAACTCTGGACCAAGCAGCAGCAAGAGGCGTCTTCTGGCAAGTGTATCGTCGTTGATACTGAGGTACGGAGGTCCAGCCTGGGATGCAGCGCTGAATACGAAGAAGAACCAAAGAAAATTGAACAGTACGTTCCGCCTCATGGCCATGCGAGTCGTGAGTGCGTACAGAACAATTTCGACGGAAGCAGTATGCGTTATCGCCAGTATGATACCCATCGTCATCACCTTGGCGGAGGACACCGAGTGCTATATGCGAAGAGATACCAGAGGAGTACGGACGAGTCGATGGCTAAGTGGCAGCAGGAGTGGGACGCCGTGGAGAACGGTAGATGGCTAATACCGATTCTTTCAACCTGGGTGAACAGGAAGCGTGGAGAAGTCAACTTCCACTTGACGCAGTTCCTGTCTGGTCATGGCTGCTTCAGGAAGTACCTGCATCGCTTCGGACAAGCAACGTCACCCCTCTGTCCGGAGTGCGGCAACGTGGACGAAACGCCGGAGCATGTGGTTTTCGACTGCCCAAGATTTGAGGCAGTGCGAGTGGAGATGCCGGCCCTTAGCGCGGGAAATGTCGTCAGTGAAATGTGCCAGGATGAGAGGACGTGGAGAAATGATCAGCGAGTTAGCAACGCCGGCTAGCTGAGCTTAAGAGAAGTGCTTGATATCAGTATACTTAAAGTGGACATTTTATATGATAGGTGAGGAGATGAAAGTGTAGAGTTGATAGTTCCGTTATAGTAAGGCAGTGTGAAAATTGAATATAGACAGTAGAAAGCGAGCAAAAGACAAGGAGTTTCGAATACGTTTCCCACCCTAGTCTTTTTGCGCAAGCGTTCTCTAATACACAACAATCGTTTATTATCGACGATATGGGCTTGTACCGCAACTACTCAGTATCAGTCGATAACAATATACAAATTCATGCATTGGCGTTGTCATAGAAAGTTCTCAATTAATTACTCCAGAACACCTAGAAAGCCTAGAAAAAGAAGAAGTAACTAATCATCATCTCATTTGCAGGAAAAGCTGCTCCGAATGCGGCTAGACATGGAAAATAGCGCCGCCAAGGAACAGCAGCAGCAGCAGTCGGTCTCCAGCGGTCTCGGTGATTCGCCCTTGTCCGGAGCGGCAGCGGCGGCCGCCCAGTACCAGAACCCATACAGCCCGCCCCAGCTGGCCAACCAACAGCAGATGCCCATCGTGTACGTGGCCGTGGCAATCGCAATGGCTATATTCGGGCTTATTCTTGGCAAGTTTGTGCTCTGAACACTGAACGACACCGGCAACGGCAGCGGCAGTGGCAGCAGCGGTAACAACAGCGACGGCAATGATGATAATAAGTTAATCTGAGTTCAGACTAGTATAAACAACAGAACAGAAACTAGAAAACAAAACAAGCAAAACAAACTATTTAAAGGCATATAGGTTGGGAGTATAGGGAGGGGATGAACACACTCATGTAACAAGGAAAATAAACAATTTAGAGGAGACAGGCATATAAGAATAATTGATTCTGAACAGAATATAAAACGATTCTACAGCGTTCCTTCGAATTTCATCACCCAGAATGCGATGTACCCAAATTTAATAATTCGTTGAATTCGCACTTCTGAGGGATGGAGCTCGAGGTAACATTTTAGGACCGACTAAACCATGTAGGAAAACGAAACGGCAAAGAGCATACACCCAACCCTTTTTTATATGCGGTCTTATTTTCCATTTTTCCGATGTGCAAACGATCAGATAAAAATCAAAGAAAAATATGCTACCGACAGAAATGTTCCAACTTCGTCACAGAAAAAGACAATTGGAAAAATGTACTCGCACAAAAAAGGTTTGGGTGTACATTGTACTTCAACAAATTAAAAAAAAAAAGAAAACAAAAACAAAAGCAGTTATCGCTGTAATGGAAAACCTAGCAGTAAAAGAATAAATAAACCCTAAATGGTTAATCCAGATTAATATACAAAAGAACTTGAGAATCAATGTGAAGCTGAACTAAAACTAGAATAAATCGAAGAGAATATCGTTCGCGAGAGAATAATAAAAAAAGGAGGAAAGCATGAAAGCAAAGGTAAAACTAAATCAAACATCATCTGCTAGAAGTGGCAGGTCCCATGAAGAAGAGAATAAAAAAAACACACACACACACAGCAAATTAAAAAGAAACGTATTTATCCTAAGATTTAAAATTGCCAGAAGGAAGCAAGTTACAGGAAATGAGAGTAATTAGTTATCGACCTTCTCTTGTTGCTCATTTCAACCAATAATTGAGTCGACTTTCATTTCGAGAATAATTATTAAAAGAAAACCAACACTCACATATAAACAAACAAAAAAAAAACACACACACAACCACACGCATACAAAGATGCTCTCGCTTAGAAGTAGAATTATTAAACAAACAAGCAAGCAAAACAAAAGTAAACAGATGTAAAATTCATCTCGCTGCGTGGCGGAGCTTCGAGCTTTTATCCGGATTCGGGGGGAACTCGAACCGTCGCCATCGGCGATCCTCTCACCTACAGGACGATGCGAGTGGAGATGAACCCCGTTCAATCCCAGAGTTTTGAGCATTATTAGGATACCTACCTACATACCACATATTCGTTTCGTTTCCGGAGGAGGGAAGAAACCGTGTAGTGATTTGAAATATAAAAAAAAATCAGAAAGCGAAAGCCCTTCTCTAGCGGATAAGATTTACTAAAACTTAGGAGGGGCAAAGGGGAAGCCGTATATTTGTTACGTTATAGGTTGATTATAAGAAGGTACCTCCACCTGCAAAAGTAAAACCATATTCATGGCTGATGGATGGAGTTGCTATAGTTTGGCGCATTCGAACGATTTTGCTCCTTCTTCTACCCAGTCTAGATGCTAAAGTTTTGCTTTCCTATTCAAACTAAACAAAAGTCGTGTAGAGTTATATCTGAATAGGATTTTCAGCGGTTTTTTTTTGTAAGGTTTTAAGTCGATTGATTTTGGGATATAAGCGATTTACCTACTACTACTAGATCCTATCGGATCCGGTTGGTGAAACCGTTAGAGTTTCGGAAGGATAGGAAGAAAACATAACAACCAGAAAAAAATGTGTTAAATAGAGAAAGAAGTGAATAGTAATCATCTATTGTCAAAACTAACAACTTCTGACCCGAAGAAGAAGAATAAAACGGACGGTTTGTGGAGCGCTGCTTAACTTACAATTGTGGCAAAATTTCTCAACATTTTCCGGAATCACAGAAAAATAAAAGTTTCCTTGTCGGTGTTGCTCTGGCTGCTAAGAACCATTTTTGCATCATATTCCCAGAATGAGAAGAGAGTGGAAAAGAAGAAATTGCCGCACGCGCGCTCTCTCAACTGACGCTACAACAAACCAACAACAGCAACAAAATTCACTAAAATAGAAACAGAATAAATTTTTGAAAGTTGAAAACAGCAGATCATGTCGATGCTTTTCTAAACCAACAAAAAAAAAGGTATCACGAAAGTTACACTACCATTTACCACTATTACTACCTACCCTACCCTTACCTATTAGAGCGCTGTTGTAGATTTCGTTTAGTGATTTTTTGTTTGTTCCGTCTCAGTGACACACAGCTTTTTTGTTTTATTGCATTCATTATTCCTGTTTTTTTCTGTGCAAGCCCTTAGAATCGTGGTTATTTTGTTTTCTTTTTATCGTATAATAAAATATTATTCCAAAATAATTGTGCTTGTGTCTTTATTATTTCGATTCTCCTGACTTATGGGGAGGGGGAGGAGGTTTGCTTGCTTGACTTTCCGCCTTTTAAATTCTTCGAAGTTCCGAGCACTTTAGGATTTCAGGGAAGTTCTGGGTACTTCAGGAAATTTCACTAAATAAATGCTATAGGGGAAATGCAGGTAACGTCGGCCTAAGTGTCCCTAATTTGGGCCCATACATAAATTCAGCAATCGACTAAATTTTCAATAGCAACCAAAAATATCCATTAGTAACGTCCCAATAACGCGTTCATCTAGATAAAATTGATAAATAGCAAATTTTTAGCGATGGGCCCAATCTTAGATCCATACGCCAACATTAGAGACATTTCCCCTATGTAAAATTATTCCCCAAAATCAGATATTTTCAACTAATCCTGCCTATTACTCGATATGTGACACCAGTTACCTATTCAGCCTCTAAGACGTTGTCCATTCGCCTTGCTGGACCAAGTAAAAAGCAAACTGGATGAGCTACCTACTAGTGATAGGTATGATAGAACGCGTAGCGAAACTGTCATCTTAGGTGTCACCTGTTCCTTCCAGTCTCAAAGACAATGTGGAACTACGTCTATGGGTACGGTTAGGGTAGACGCGACCAATTCAAAAGAATCTTATTATTTATTATTATTCCTTGCGTGAGTCGCATCGCGTCTACCCTGGCCGTACCCTATGCGTTGCCATGAGACGCGCCAACCAAGCGATTCAGCGACTAAATCTTCCGCTCCCGGTGTTCGAAAATATCCTTCCGAAGTTCAATGGTGCCACAATTGTCACTACGTTAGATATCAAGCAAGCTTTGCTCCAGAATTCCTCCAGATTCATTCAAAATTGAAGGGAAAGCATATTGTTCAACCTACTCGAATACATTTGTTTTCATTGATGACATTCTGATCTGGGGAGACTCCGAAGAAGACCACGACGACGCTGTAAGGAAAGCACTTTCAGTCCTGAAAGAACATGGGATGTTGCTTACCATGCAGAAATATAGGTTCAAGCAAAAAGAAAGCTCTCAGAAAAAGGCGTTCTTCCAACCGATTCCAAAGTTCGGGTTTATTCTTCAATGTCTAGCGCCACTGAGTAAAGAAGAATTGAGAAGTTTCCCGCTTCATCCCCAAACCTGGCAACGGAAAACCATCCTCTAAGAGAATTGCTCAAGAATTCGACACCGTTCGATTGGAATTCTCTACACCAATGTTCGTCTAACGCACTAAATTATTATTATTTAACTTTATTAGGGAGGCTCTCAGCCTTGGGCTGGTTCGCCTCCAATAACGCACTAAAGCAACACATGGGGAATTTGCAAAATTTGGGATATTATGACCCTCAGGACCAGACAATTCTTGTTACTGATCAGTATCGATGCATCGGGTGTTGGTCTTGGAGCAGTATTAATACAAGTATTTTATTTCATTCTTATTATTACTTCAGTGAAAGGATTTTTATCCTCGAATGTTGAAAATTGATACAGGTTGAGAATAAAGCGCCCATTACACATATTGACAATAAATTGCCATACTGACAATATTATTGAAAAGGTGATATTGAAGACGATGATTGATGACAAGTATTGGCGAAAAGATGATTTTAATTTCACTTTGTCAATACTCAGAATGTATTGACAAAAAACCGTCAATTTCGCCATCGATATCATCGATATACAAATATTGACAACATTAATGGCAATACGTTAAAAGTCTTTTTTACCTCAATGTATTGAAGTCAATATTACTTGTCTCAATTTCCCCACCCAAGAAACATGGATCAGCGAAAGAAAGTGTGTTTAGAGTTCATGTTTGCATTCGGGTCCAAACAGAAACGATTGCTGAACTTGTATGTATTGAACATACTAGCTACACACTGATAGCGAATTTGTTTATTATCGGGGTTGGAACCAGTTCCAACCCAGTGCGAAACCGAACTTTTTGTCAGTGCGAACCTCAACCTGAGCTATAGGTTTTAAAAACAAACGATCAAACTGACGTTTGCAAGAAAACAAGCAGACCCGATCTTGATACCCGATCCAGGTTGGAACTGAATAATAAACAAATTCGCTATGAATTTGCTAAATTTTGCCGGGTTGAACAGCTGAAAAAATTGGAAAAATTTCAAATGACCGTTACTCGAAGGAAATCAATAAAATCGACAAATTGTTTTTGTATCGTTCAAAAGAGGTAACTAGGTCCGAATATTTTCGGTATAAATTTCCATTTTTTTTTTTTATTTTGCACTGATTTGTAAACTTTTACCGAACAGTTCCGTAGCTCAAAAATTACCAAACAGCGGAGTCCTGGTTTAGTGGATATATATAGAAACCAACTTTCACCCAACATTTATTTATACTTGCTTATTTCAAATTAATTTTCAGGATTTTTATAATAAATAGTTTTAAATAATGATCTATTCCAGGTCTACTCTTAAGTTCTCAGAATGATGTAAGAACTATGTGATTAATTATAGCATTCAATTTTATTTTTGATATCACTGAACTCTCCTGTTTCGTTAGAACAATAATGTTTACCTAATATTACACATACATATAGGGGGTTATTCCGAGAGTCGAAGTGATTTTTGTCACTAGTGAAGTGAGATGCAAATCAAATTGAGAGTCACGTTACCATAGGGGCGCGCAATAACCTTTAACTCCAACGCAGGCAACGGCTCTAATTAAATTAATTCCATTAACTACTGCTTTAATCACATTAATTACACAATGTAGAACATTAACTACTTTTTAACTCCATTAATTACAGTCGAAATTTCGTAGGGGGAGGTAGCTCATCGATTCTTCCGGTTCGCCTCCTAGCATCGTGACTTCATTTCGTTGGCGTCTGTAATGGGAAATTGTCGAGTTGTTGAATAGCAACTGTCGTGGTAACTCACCGATTACTTGTCGATCTGCCAAATTTGAAAAGACGTCTGCATTGAATTGTCTCATATAATAATATTCTGCCCACTATATCACAAGAAATTGCGAGTAGCTGAGTGGAATGGAGATAAGTTAAGCATTGGGTACAGGACCAAGTCTCCCCTGGGTGGTGCCAGAAGATGAGCGCAATAGAATCATCAAGTTGCCATAAGGCACGGAATGAGACTATTGCATGGCTGGGTAGTCAAAGTCTTCCATTCGTTAGTCATTTCAGGTGGATTAGAACAGGTTTAGGTTTAGGGTGGGCGTTGGCCAGATTTGGATTTTTCAGATATAATCCTAAATAGGACCTAGATTATTTAATACACTAGTAACCTCTACTTCTGTCACAATGTTTCATTGTGACTTATCAACACTCAATGGGTAAAATATCAAATTTGCGGTAAATTTGAAAAAAAGGTAACTTTGAGTGTAGAGCGCACTGCCCACTGGACGATTTTAAAGCCTGACCAAGTGAGTGGGTTACGGGTTTATTTGATTGTACGTCATTTCCAAGTTATATATAGATACATTCATACCATTGGCATTTGGTATTTGAGATAAGACAGAGACAGGATGCGGAGGGCCCGCTTAGGGGGAGCGTAACCCATGTTATGGCTTCCATTTATTAAATAGTTCAGATAGGCTGGAAATGATAGGTTTATGGTGAGAAAATGTACCATATGGTGCCCGTTCACTGATCAAAATTAGATTCAAATCGTCAGGCCCTGCCCTGGAATAAGGGGATTGATGATGATTTGCCAAGTTTCATTTTGTATTTACCTATATAATGTAAGTTTAGGTTTGCTTTTGTAATTGTAAGATAGATAGTTTGGCTCAATTGAAACATTGAGTTGTATAAACTTGACGAATCATACCTCTAAAATAGTAATAGTTAGAGTGCCGCATTATCTAACAACCACTGCCTGCAACTAATGTTGGAGGGGTCGGCAGGGCTGATTACGGATCAAAACTAACATAACTCTAACAACACTGAAATGATCACGAAACTAACGCTCATTCATTGCACTTTGAGTCATAAAGTAGTTTTATTTATTTTCCTACTAATCTATCTACACACTTAGTTTTTTCTACCGAGCTCGGCTGTGCGAGTCTCGGCGGGGAGGGTTTCGCTGAGATCTCGGCGGGAGTGACATTTGATTGCTGAGTCTCGGATAATGCCTTTTCTAATAATCTGCCTACGTTTCTTTTCTTTGTTATCTACTTTATTCCCTTTTTATTTTTCTGCTCTTCTTTCCTCTTCTCTTCTTTTGTTTTGTTTGTTTACATATAACTAATACGAATACCTCCTTGTTTTCTCTCTAATGTGTCTACTATATCCCACCATCACGATGAGAGATGAGCTACCGTACATGGTACACGCTCATATACACTCCCAAAATAGTATGCCGCAAGTAAGTATATCACAGAGGCAACTAAAGATCCAGAAACAAAAACCGATAACGCTGAAGATAATGAGCTGTGGTGATTTATTTGACTATATAGTATTATTTATTTATACTAACCTAAACACAACGTGGGGTGACCCAAATCCAAACGATCACTAACCACTGTTTCTCTCTTTTCAGCAAAACAACAAAAAAAAAAGCCTCTATAACTCTTCTCCATTCTCTTAATCTCCTACTATCCCCTATAAATGTATCGGAAACTAGTGGGACTGTCTGTGCAAACAGAAACAGGCCTGCTAGTGGAAGAAGGTCGTTATGCTATACGGTCTAGCATAGGCCTACGGCCAGGTTTCAGTAGGTACACACTCGCTTAACGGCAG